TTCCATGCTCATTAATCCAGAAGGATCCTAAAATATAATGCTATCTTTCAACAGGAAGACCTAGGGCAGGTCCAGGAAACTCATTAGGGACTGAATGCAAAGCCCCAGAGAGAAACGGACAATTAACTTCTTTAGTGGCCATGCCCTAAGCCCACATGGTTGCAAATTTCAAAATTCAGTCAAGTCGCTTCGGGCACCAGGTTTCTTCAGAAATGCAGTCGTAGATAATGTGAACCAAATCTCATTTCTTGGTGTTTGATTTCCTTCCCCTCTACCCCTCTTTTTTTCCTTTTAAAAGACATGATTTCTAATGGGAAACCCCAGATCATTCAGCATAATTTTGGAGTTCAAAGAGAAGGCAAAACTTAGTAAGAAAATAATAAAATTGGATTTTCCACCTGAAACCTCAATCTGAGCACAAAATGGCTGTTAAAGGATAATTTTTTTTAAAAAAAAAAGGTTAAATCATGATCCTCGTACAAATTGAAAGTGAGCACATGCCCAAAATTTTATTTAACTCATTTCATTAGCAAGGGAAGCAGGAGGCCATGCAAACAATAGCCTGCAAGCCAAATCTAGCCTATCACATTTATGTAAATAAAATGTTATGGAGTACAACCACACCCACATTTACATATTGCATATGGCTTTTTCATGCTCCAGTGTCAGAGTTCTATGGTCACAGAGCATTTATCCTTGGACCTTTTTCAGAAAAAGTTTGCTGACTCCTGATACAGGCCATTGCGAATGCTGAAAGAAATTTACATATAGATGCACAGGGCAATAATCAGTTGCATTCTGCCAGATAAAAAATATTTGCATTACAATTTAATGAGTTGTAAAATAACTCAAAGATAACCAAAGGCACAGATAATCCAGAAGAATGTACTAGACCTGGCTGCTAGGCCAGGTACATGAACAGAAATTCACACTAGGGATCCAGGGAAAAAATTTGTTTCATAAACTAGGGCACAGATGGAGAAGAGGCTGGGATTCAGGAACCAACAGGACAAGGAGAGGTCCTTGATGCACAGCCCCAATGATTGTAATTTAGAATGGCAGAGGCTGAGACTGGCCACTTGAGTGCTTCCTACTTCAAGCCTCAGTGGTTCTGGAAACTGGGGCAGAGCTCTGTCCTTGAGGTAGATCCGGGAACCCAGCTGTGGGGAGCCTCAGCAGGCAGAGGTAGATTTTATCCACTTTCTGGGTTTCAACTACTCTTAATAGGCTGAAGACTCCTGCATCTACTTTTTCAGCCCTGACCTTTCATTTAAGATTCATGCTAGAGTTATACAATTTTCTGCTACTGTTCCAATAAGTACTTCAAATTCCACATGTCCAAAATTGAACTTGTTTTAACCCTAAACCTGTTCTTCCTCCTGTATTAACTGTCTCAACTGATGACATCCCCTTTCAATCAGCAGTGCAGTCCAAGAACCTGACATCCTTGATTGCTTCTCCTTCCAGTGCTATCTGACACACCCAATGAATGTCTTAAATCAGTTCTTTCCTATCACTAGAACCGCTGTCTAGTTTAAGATCTCACCATCTCTTCACCTGGTCTGATACCTTTTAACTAGTCTTATCTTGCTGAAACTCATTCAGTGGTGTGCTGGAGCTGGCTTACACTGGCTGGTGAGAGCTGGTTGTATGCATCTCTTCCCAACTCTGTGTTCCATGATGTCATATTGGTAGCTTGAAATTGGCCCCAATGGGAGTACTTATGCCATAGAAATCAGGGAACATTACAAATCAAGATTTTTTTTTTAGAATGAGAGCTACTTGTTAAAAATTTACCAGCACATTTACCACTGCCCACTCCCCACTTTGACCAAACCAATCTTTGTAAAATATTTATTCAATTATGCCAGTCTTTTGATTAAAACTCTTCAGGGACTCACCACGGCCAACATACAATATTAAGAGCCCTAACATGGCATCCAAGGTGTTTTATTATCTGGACCCTGCCTAAATGATGAGCTTCCTCTCCATCCCTGCTTAGTCTCACAACTTATCTTCTATCTCAGAGGTCACAAACTGACTTGCTTCAGCCTAAATTGCCTCATATATGCATTTTGTTTGGCCTGCGCACTACTGTTTTAACTCTTTTGAACCAACATTTAAAACTTAACGAAATTCTACCCCAAAGGGGATTAAGAGGTGCATACTTGCATTTATAAAATAAATAAGTCACAGGAATATAATGTACAGCATAGGGTAATGCCTTTGTATGGTGACAGATGGTAACTAGACTTGTCATGGGGATCATTTTATAATGTATAAACACATCAAATCATTGTTGTACACCTGAAACTAATAGAAGATTGTATGTCAATTATACTTCAAATTTGAAATGACATTATTCAACAACAACAAAAAAGAAATTCTACCCCAAAATTCATATTTCTGATTTCTCTCAAAAACTTACCACACTGGGCCCTTATCCATGCTTATGCAATAATTTTATAACAAGAAGCTGAGCAGCTGATGCCCCTTTGAGAGAATATGTGCTCTACAGTTCCCCAGTCCCTACCATTCTGTCTCCAAATTATGCATATGCACCCACAGCTAGCCCTCATATCTGTTACCATATTATCTGGTGCCTATTGTAGACACTATCATACAGTCCTGATTACTATCAGAACCCTGACCCTCATTATAGACTCTCTCTTTCATTACCATGGCTGTCCTGATGATAGTGCATGTCCTTGCCAAGTCTAGGAAGGGGAAAACATCAAGATGAGAAGAGGAAGAAGGAGGGGTGGGGGTGGGAGAAGCAGTAGAAATCTGTAATCTTTGGGTCAGAATTTCCATTTTGAAGCAATAGAATTGTAAAAATGACAGGCAGGTTTTTGTGTCCTAGGTTTCTGTGACCTCGGGATATTCCCTATAGAGCCCATTTTCTAATCTTCCAGAATGTCTACCTCTCAGCTGGACATGAGAAGGAAAGACCCAAGAAAACTAGTTCACATTGACTCAAATTATGAGATCCAGGTTTGTAAACAAGTCAATTTCTTAATTTGAGAATAGGAAACTATTTCTTTTTGCTGCTTGCTTGTTGTGTGTCTAGCACTGTGCTAGATGCCCTGGGGAAGACAGGAGCAGACTATGACCATTCTGCCTTCAAAGAGCACACAACCTTATTCAGGAGGCAAGAAAAACATATGGGAAATAATTAGAGAACAGAGAATGGGAGACTCCCAGATCTGAGGTACATTCTTCCTGGGTAGACTGTGACATATCACTCTCATGATCTCTTCCAACTCTAGGCTTTATGCTAGTGGTTGTGTTTAAGTTTATCACCAGGCCTACTCAGACCTTCTTCTTTCCTAGCCTGTAGGTTTTTTGTTAATTTCTTTAAGATTATTCTTTCCTGTGTCCAATTTACTTTCTGAGCCAGTTGCTCACTTCCTGTTGTCTTGTTTGTAGCTGCTCCCTCTAAATGTTCAATAATGTTGCCTCACTGCTCCAATCCAAGCAATTGATGACCCATGTGCGGCCAGCAATCAACTGAACTCAAGAGGCTGATACAGCTGCTCCATGAAGGAAGCAAATTTCTGCACATTCCTCCTACCCCTTCTCCTCCACTTTTCACCCATTTCTTGTTTTCTGGCCACTTTCCTGTTTGGGACTCTTTTATCCAAGGTGGGAAGGAAGCAAAGATTATGAAAAACTGCAACTCATCCTTTTGTCAGTTTGCCAGCAACTGTGGGGTTCTTTAAAAAAAATTACTAAGAGTAAAAAGAAACTATTGATTATCACAGTATTTGTCTATTCTGTGAGAATCTCAATTATCTATGTTTTGTTCTCCCCAGCTCAAACACTTGGAACTGTTTTTCAAAAGTGTAAAGTATATTGAGATCAGTATTCCACAATCTCCCTGAAGCTTATCCATGTTTTGAATACTCAGCTATATCCCTCCATGAAGACTCCTCTGACTATTTCAGTCCATTCTCTAGCTCTAGATCCTATCACAGAGAGACTTCTCTGTGGGTCTAGTGAGCTGCCTCAGTTTCTCTATTAGACTGAAAACAGATTGGATCCCAAGAGACATTTTAAGGTCAAAAGACTTTTTATTCATTGATCAGGTTCTGCAAACTCAGCCAGAAAAATTCTAGAATACCCAAAGAACCCCATACCTTTCACTTATACATGCTAGTTAGACCAGGCACAACATCATGGACACAATTTTATCAAAGGTCCTTTTCTCAACAGTAACTCCTCCTCCAAGCCTAGAGTCCTCATTTGCCTAGTACTTCTTTCTGAAATTAACAGATTCATTCTTTCTTGCTGGGACCTACAGGAAGTTAGAGGAACACTCTCTGGCCTTAGTAATTTGTCCCCTAAAGTCCCACATAGATATAAAGACACTGTAACCATTTGAGGGTATCTTCTCTTTAGTTCCCAGAGCTTGACTTAGGGCCCTGGTCTTTAAAATTACTTATCTTTAGCTTTTCAAATGAATATTCCTGCAGTTTGTACTGCTCATTTGGAACCAAACACATTCTATTATGTACTCCTACTTACCAATTTTATATAAGTCTGATCTACCCAACTAAAGCTCCAGGAGGTCAGGGAAAAATTCCTTTACTTCTCTGTATGCCCTATCATGCCTCAGAGAAAACTGGGCATATTGTGGTTGCATAATTGTAAAAGCCAAGCTCTAGGATCATACTGCCTATGTTTGAATCTTGATCCTGCTACTAAAAGCTGTGTGGCCTTAGGTTTGTTCTTTAACCTCTGTATGCCTCAACTCCTTCATTTGAGGAGAATATTTACCTCACAAGGTGGTTGTGGGGCTTAAGTGAGTGAATACATGTAAAGTGCTGTATGCCTGGCATGCATTAGCATTGCACAAGTAGCTATTTTGGGAAAGAGCAGAACTGACAAAAGAATGATGACCCCGGTTCCTGAATCACTGACATCTGATGCGCCCTATGCTCCCTCTCTCTCCAGCCTTAATCCCGCCCTTTCATGCTTTTTAATTTTATTGTATCTAGGTCCCCACTCTGATGATGGACACTCAGTTTTCCGAGTTCACACCAGATATCACTCCCATCATGCTGGCTGCCCACACCAACAACTATGAAATCATCAAATTGCTTGTCCAAAAACGGGTCACTATCCCACGGCCCCATCAGATCCGCTGCAACTGTGTGGAGTGTGTGTCCAGCTCAGAAGTGGACAGCCTGCGCCATTCCCGCTCCCGGCTGAACATCTATAAAGCTCTAGCCAGCCCCTCACTCATTGCCTTATCAAGCGAGGACCCCATCCTAACTGCCTTCCGCCTAGGCTGGGAACTCAAGGAGCTCAGCAAGGTGGAGAATGAGTTCAAGGCTGAGTATGAGGAGCTCTCCCAGCAGTGCAAGCTCTTTGCCAAAGACCTGCTGGACCAAGCTCGGAGCTCCCGGGAATTGGAGATCATTCTCAACCATCGAGATGACCATAGTGAAGAGCTTGACCCTCAGAAGTACCATGACCTGGCTAAGCTGAAGGTGGCAATCAAATACCACCAGAAAGAGGTAAGCGGAGCTCTTCTCTGCTTGCAGGTAAGCTTAATACTCCCCGGAGTCCAGAGAAGCAGAGCAAAAGTCAACCTTTTTCTACAGTTCAGCCCTCTAGCAAACAAATGGTTAGATCGTAACTTAAAAACCAGCCCATTTATCCAAGGCACATATAGCCTCTGCACATTTTCTATTTATGGGCAGCTAAGTAGGGGAAAATATCAATCATCTGGTTCATTGATGGAAAAGTATTCATTAATTTAACAAATGCTTATTCAGCACTGTTCTAGGTATTTGGCATACAGAAAATGGTCACTGAACTTGTCTTCATGGGGCTCATAAGCTGGTGGTGAACATTAAAAGAAGGTTCACATTGGTGAATATATAATTACAAACTTAAGTAAATGCTCAGAAGGAGAACTTATGTGAAAACATAAATTACCAGTAAGTGACCCTACCATACATATTAGGGCCATAGAGGGCAGTGATCATGAAAGGCTCACTGTCTGGATGCTGTTATTTATTAACAGAACTAAGTCCTACACAGCCCCTCAGCAAGAAGGTTGAGATATGCATTTGAAAGATGGAGTCATCCCTCAAAGAGGGATGTTAGTCATTTCAAGCACATCACATGCTTTCCAGCTTGGCCACATTTACAGTCTAGCTGGTGCTGTTCTGTGCCATATTATCAAACAATTTTGGGGAGTCTCCTAGCAAGCCCAATTCAGCTCCTTAAAGAGGCAGCATGGTACAGTAGAAAGAGCAGGGACTCTGGAGGGAGAGGGACTGAGGAATTCCAAATCCCCAGCTGTATGACCTAAGGAAAGTGACTCAAATTTCCAGGACATTAGTTTTCTCATGTATAAAATGGAAACAACAATAGTTCCTCCACTTCATAGGGCTGCTATGGAAAATAAATGAGAAAATGAAAGTGCACAATGTATGACACAAAAAGTACTTTAGTGTCCATTTCCAGCTCTCTTCCAATGCTCCCTGGAGTCAGATTCAAATAGGTTGAGCCAAGAGATGCTTGGCACCTGAAGGGCACCTGTTATTATCCCTACTCTTCAGAAGTGAAAAATGAGGTTAAGTAATTTCAGCCTTAGTGAAATAAAAAGTGGATAGTGGCAAAACTTAGGTCCCTGGAGGAACATAAAGTTTAAACAGAACAGGTAATGTGCTTGTGCACAGCCCAATATTCAGCATATTCAATAAACATTAATTGCTATTATTCATTTTTATTGTTACGCACAGGGATCCATGGTATATGGTCTGATTCTGTGTACTGAAATTGGAGATAATAGATATAGTAATGGCCTGTCCCCTTCTTTACCCCTTTTCCTTCCACCATCCTGTTGTGGATGCATAGTATCTGTTATGTTAAGTAGTTCTTTTCACTTTGATATATGTGTGTGTTTCCACTGATGATGTATAGTATGGGTTCAGTGTGTTTTTCAGTTTATATAAATTGTTAAAATACTGTAAGGAAAAAATCACAGGTATTTTTAGGACATGAATTGATTCCAGGGGACAAAATGGTTAATGGGAATAGAGGTGTTAAAAAATAGATGTGGGGGGGACTTGGTGAAGGGGGGAGCCGAGTAATCATAATGTTCTTCATGTAATTGTAGATTAATGATACCACAATAAAAATAAATAAATAAACAAACAAATAAATAAATACATAAAAATAGATGTTGTGGAACATAACTAAAGTTCGCATGCCTTACCTCCCTAGATAGCAGATAAACTTCATAATTTTAGGTTCCCATCCCCCTGCAAATTAACAGAGCATTTATTTTCAAATAATTTCAATATAAATTCATCAATTTTATATTGATAGGTCATCTCCCAGCTACTTTATCACTTGATCCCTTCTGCTCATATAATCTTCACTTTACTTACTGCTCCATTTGAAAACCATTGTGATGACTTCTTCATGCTCACCAGGATCTGCTTGGCATATGACCATGGAATCAGCCTTGGGTTCTACTTTCACAGTCTGCCAACCCTCATTAACCTAAGCATTTTTTTCCCTCATGTTTTAGTCCTTTTGCTTTCTTGAAACTTCGTCTCCCATATCCCTTATTTCATAATTTACTTTATTGCTGTTATTACAGAATATATCTATATTATTATATATTCATATGAAGTATTCATCAGCTATCATTATACCAACCTGAATATGCCAAGGGGTTGTATTTCTTTTTGCTCTCTTAATTAAGTATAAGAAATTACAAAATTGTTTTCATGGTCCATTTGCTGTGTAAATTCACAGGGTCATCTATTTTATGGTGGTAAGAAATAAGAAATACATAAAATAAAATTTACCACTTTAACCATTTTTAAGTGTGTAATCAATGTCACTAAATACATTCACATTGTTGTACAACCATTGCCACTAGGAATCATTTTTTGAAGATGCACAAGTTTTGGGGTATCCATTTTTCTTTCAACATTGAGTCCATACAATTAGAGTTTCATATTTTGCAGACCACACTATTTTTCATCTGTAACACTGGAAAATTAACATCTTTCAATTATTCAAAGTTATGGATATTCGCAGTAATACAAAAGTAATCCAGGAAGCATTGTATTTACCCAAAGATCAATTTTAGGCCCAGTGGATTTTACTAATCATTGTGTATCAAATCAGTGAGAACTCTGAAATTTAACAGACTGAGCTGTTTCAGTCAGAGCATATCAAACTCCAACTCCAGGTTTGCAGTAAATGTGGCAAGGATAATGAGTGACTTGCAACTTCAATGTCAATAAATTCATTAAAAAGAATATACTTTCATAGAGCCACATAAACTCAGTATGGTTCGAAGTTTAGTCCCATCAGAGAATTCAAGATTATTTTGGGATTTAAATACTTAACTCTAAACTTTCTAAGATAAATTGTCTTAATAATGTCCATAGATCAAATTTAGTTTAGTTTCTCTTCAAATCACAGATCAGCGGGGCAGGCTTGAGAATTCACATACACCTTAAGGTGTGCACTCCCAAAGGCACTGCTTCCAGAATTTAAAACATGATGTATACCCATCAAAATCTATAAATCTCTTCTGAATTGTGACTTCCTTTCCATAAAGGAACTCTGTAATCCTTCCTAATCTGTGAATTACAGTTTTTAAAAAATCAGTGGTTCCACTGAATCTCAAATGAATATAGTCTCTAATTGCACTCTATTTGATCCATATGTCTAGTTTAAGACTGAATACTCTCATCTTGAAAAAATCAGCAATGTCCTTATTTTGGAGATACTTTTGTAACTTCAAGTCTAGTGTGTTTGGATAAGAAACACAATTCTGTGAGTGACTGAGGTTCTAATAATTCAGGTATCTGTGAGTACATCATTCTCAGAAGTTCTTGGTATGAGGAAGTAGACTGGTAAATCTGTTCAATAAGTATCCATAATCTAGTCTTTAAAGAAATGAAACATGTAACACTTAAGGCCAAAAGCATAACAAAGGTAGCTATCTTGATAATTTATTTTATCATATTATGCAATAAACTTGATCACCAACTTTCACAGTATACGCTCTCCTATATAGGATGGAAAGAAATTAGGCAAACTAATACTTACTTTGAACACAAATGAATGACTGAAAACTAATTTTATCTTTCCAATATAGCTATGCCAAATGAACTCAGCTTTTCTAACTTAGATAAAATTCCTCATATTCCTTTGAGGCATATAATTTATGTGTGCTGGCTCTTCAAGAAGAAAAATACATTAACATCTTCAGTGAGTCCCACCCCAGGATCTAATCTGAGGGTTACGTGTTGGGAACCCTAAACAAGTTGGACACGTGTTTGAAAAGGCCAGCTTTTCCAGATGAGCTTCAGGCCTTGAAGAAGGCCGTCCAAGAATTATCTCCCAGGGCCAGAAGTATTTGAAGGACAAATGGCCTCTAGATGGAAATGGGGCTATTGAGCTAAAAGAGAAAAATTGTCTTCTTTTTCACACTTGATTTCATGCTTTATTCCACTTGCACAATGAGGATCTATCTTAAAGGATAGGGGATTTTTTCTTCAGTGTCTACACTGAGAATAGGGAAGAGCAAATGTGCCAGTTCTTCACTTTCTAGCGTCATCCCTGCTGAACCCTGTTCAGTCTTCTTTTAAAGCATGTTGTGATTCCATCTGGGCAGAAATATCTACTACAAATGGAAACTATGTCAACTGGTGGAGGTATTCTAAGAGAGGAGCAGAGACTCTTGTTCCAGGGAAAAATGCTCACATATAAGTCCACTCACATCTAAAAGTTTCAAACAAACAACATGTCTCTTAAAAAGCTGTATTATATACACACACATATAAAAAACAGTATTTTTCTCTATAAAATGAGTTGTAAGACAACTGATTTTCCAAAACTAGAAGTTAAGGGGTTGCCAACATTAAAAATTTAGAAGCTATGGTTTCAAGAAAGGCCAGTGTTTCTCCAAGTAGGAATAAAACTATTAAAAGTGATCAGTATTACCAGAATTTGTTAATCTAGAGGCATGTGTATTTATGTGTTCTGATTTTTAGATTTTGTTAATGGCATCTTTGATTAAAGGAATCTGAGATACTAAAGTTGTGTTTCATAACTGGCTAGTACACTCTACATGAATACTTGTGTTAACTAAAAAATACGTCTTGAGATGTTGTTGGCATTTTATTAGGGTCTTTAGTGGGGGAGTCGAAAGTTACATGTGGATTTGACTGTGTGGAGTGTCAGTCACCCTAATCCCTGTGTTGGTCATAGGTCAACTCTATACCCAAGAGGAAATGGCTAAATACCTCTAGACTATTAAGATAAAGCTATCATTAGTCAGCTTTGATGTAAAAAGTAATTGTAAAAATCATGTTGGAAAACAGTGGGTTAATAATGTTCAGATTTACATAACCCCTCAGAAACAAATCTTAGCCTTAAATGGAATGTAATTCACTCTTTCCTGAAAAGCTTTCTCATTGTTGTTTTTCCCTCATTACTATTCCTACTAGAACTCAAAGAGGCTGCTAAAAAGTAT